CGAAAAGTGAACATTAACAAGCAACTCAGCTTTTGATATTGCTAATCTATTATCGCAAGTTTATTGAAATTATTGAAATTTTACGCGAAATCCATACTTTCTCTACGCTTTAGACACAATGCATCAAAGCAAAGTTCAAGAAAAGGTTAGTTCGCAAGTCGATCGACTCGCATTGTGCAATGTAAAATTATGATTCTTATTGATCGGTTCTCTCAATGAATGTTGAACACTTGCTATTGCAATATGATTTCGATGTTCAAACATCCTCGTTTTCAGTGTAGCCTTTCCGTCCGCCTATCAAAATCATAGCAATTAACTGTACACTTGGCTGCAGAAAAAATAAAGATTGTTTTGATTGACGGGCACGCGGCAAAAGTATGACGCGAGCAAGCGTTTGCACCTTGGATGTGTACTTTATGGAAATAAGTAAACGACTCTGCGAGAGTGCTGCAGCTTGGCTTCACCACGCAGCTTGGCTAATGCAGCCGAGCGAGTAATTTCGTTTCAATAAACTTCTTCTGCCTCGAGCAACGTTTATATTGCGACGCGCGCGCGGCAGGGCAGGTTTTGGTTGATTTTTGAAGCGCGAACAGAAATACGCCAGCGTGCGCGGTTTATGCGGTCTTGGCGCCGCGATTTCGACGTAAATGGTCGGCCGGCCGTACATACGAAATGCCGTTTAAAATCAAATTGCGTGTGGCTAATCAAGCGGGTCGTATTCTTGGATTTCGATATGGCTCGCCGTCGTCAGAATATGAAAAATAATAATGGAAATAATATATATAAACGCTTTTTGGCCGAGAAATTCAGTTGAAATAAAATTTTAAACAGTAGAATCGGTAATAATGTCATATCGCTAATTGGTATAATTCAGTGGAGAAACTCGTGTGAAACTTGTTTTGAGAGACTCAATCTTTTGACCTCTCTTTCGCGTTGTTTAATAGTCGATTTTTGGTAAAGATTGATTATTCAATAATCGTTCTTAGCTGAATACAGTCTTACAACTACATACCTTTTATCTTATTCAACTCGATATTTTTGATTGATTTAAGCTGAAGTGATTATTTAGGCAACAAACTGTTCGATATTAATTTTAACATTTATACAAGATGAGTTATATAACTTATTACAATATTTCAACAACCAGAGAAAATATGAAAATATATTTCAGACGAAATCTGTTTCGAATAATGAGTAAAAAGATAAGATTCTTTGAAATTGAAATTCAAGACGACTGTACAATACATACGATTACAAATACAAACAAACGTAAGATTTATTCGCCATCAGACGATTGTTTCAAGTATTGAATTCTCTCTGACATTTTTTGAAAATAATAATTAATCATAGATAAGTTTACTAGATTGTCACTTTCATATTTTCACATTTTTATGGCGCTCGATCGATTCTGGTCTGTTAGCCGAGCGGATTCCACATTCGAATAAATTTACATAACTGCTGCTCATGTCTTTTTTTTCCATAATTGCATAATATTGCTCGATTTGAAATTTATCGCGTCGAACCGACACGGTCAAGCGGACAAAAACTAGTCGTTGCTGGATGTATGTACGATATTTGGCGACGCTCCAACCAATCGCTGGAAGCACGGATTTATTTTGATCGGTTCCAGAGCTCATTCACCCCCCCCCCCCCCGCTTGATAGCCCTACCTCACTGCTGAGGATTAATTTCCTTCCGGCTATCAGGAATTGACCCCGAATCAAACTTTACATAGCGTGTTTATCTTTTAGCTCGATTGCTTAATTTTCGCGTCTGCGTTGTGTTTTATCTCTCGTAATTCCGGCGATATCAAGATATTGTTCGAATGTCAGCAGTTGTTCACTCGCATTCTTCATCCTTTTTATCACTTCATCACTGGTCATAAAAAGCACTTTGTCGATATTCGAAACGATTTTTTTCGAACACAAATGTGTATTCAGGAAGAGAAGAATATGCACGTTTTGCAGTCGACGACTTAAGATCTTTTGGTCCCTGGTGAGCATTCGTCGCTTCTTTATTCGCTTCCCTTAACGTTTCCTCTTGCCGGATTCATTGTCGTACTTGGACGATAAACTGTATTGGGACGCGGAACTGGCAGCGGTGATATTAAGTTCCGCCAGATTTATGGCAACGTCTCACGAAGAGGAAAGCTATCACTTTCCAGCCGGAAGTTCGCCGGAATGTGTGCTGCGAATGAAAGCTCGAGGAAAATTAAAACTTTTCAAACGCTCGCGTGATGTTCGCTCCTCGATCGCGAGCTTTGATGCTCGCTAGTATGGCTCGCAGCCATTTGCTCGCCCCCTTTAAACATCCCAACGTTCCCTCGGGGAAGTCGCTCCGGTTATTTCTGTAATAACACGCGAATAAGTTGTGACATTAATTCAGGCGGCGAATACTTGCGCGACTATGAAGATTAAAGGCAGAAACTAGTAAAGGATAATATAAATAATAAAGCGCTTTTGCGTCAGCGCGAAATAAAAGTCTGCAGCGTGGTGAAGCGGGCACGAGAATAAATTTTAATATTTGTTTTATAAGTAGCCGTTTTGCATAATAACTTGTCGAGAGTTTCGAAACGCATCGGGTTTTAGTGTTATACACGATAGTGAAATTAAAAGTCCGACCGGGCTGACCAATCGGCTCCGGCGCCTCTGATTGTATAATTTAGCGAGAAATCAGCGCCCTTGATCTCTACGGTGGCCAGCCCCTGAGGTGCGATTGCATAAATAAGAGATTCACGGTAGGTGAACGTCGCGTAGCGAACTCAATTATCTGTTCGCCAAGTGGAAAGACGCTGAATATACGAGCCGACTAAGCGGATGAGCAAAAAAACACCGACTTACCCTTTGCTTACTCTTTGCATTCCGTAATAAATTCAACATACCGTTCGAATTCGATGATAAGATAAAAACTTTTGATTGCGAAAAGCAAGGAAGAAATTCTACTTTATTATAATACATCAATTTATTTTCATGTTTAACAATATTTACTATTTCACAATTTAATTACGCTCGCACATGAATGGAAACGGCTGAAACGATTTGTGGAGATCTTCTTTCGATATGGCTTGCAGAGAGTATGTCACGGACTTTTGGATGTCTTCGACTACTAGCCACCGTATCTACCTACCTACCTACCACCTCGACTACTAGGACTTCTGGTTGAAAAACAAGTCTGCGAGCGTGTTCTCCCGATTCGGCGCCGTGAGAGTATTTCCTCTTCCTAAAACTTAAACACCATTGAAAGACACTTTGCAGACGATTCCAATAGGCCGTGACACACTTTTTTCAAGCCATACCGAAAGAACTTGCTCGCATAAGTCGTTTCAGTTGCTAGTTGACCGCGCTACTCATTGTATCGAAACTGGGCTCGAGCAAATTGAGTTTGAATCAAACAAATTGAGTTTAAACGTTGTATCATGGTTGAATATTCAAGCTGCTGTAAAGAAATATTATGTCGCGTGTAACTCGAGCTGTAGTACAAGAGTTAGGGACGCGATAATGTCGATAAATGCGATTAATATAAAAGATGCAAAGAAAATTTTATAACAGACTTATAACAGAGGTACCAAACACAATGATACAAAACATTGAATTCTTCGACTCTTTCAGCCATTGAATTTCGCGGCGAGACATTATTGCGATAAAATACACGCTCTTTACTTTTTCAGCGTACCCTTTAACGTTATCTACTGAAAAGTTATCGATTACGTTCTTCTTATCGCGAAACGTACGTCGCTTTCTGGCGAGCGCGCAAACGTCTTTTTTTTTCTTCTTGGATCGCCTAGTCACTCCAGCCGCTCGCTACGACTGAAATAGTCGCCGCGAATCGCAGGCGAGTTGCATCGCACGCAAACTGCATCCATTGCAAAGCAATACCGACCGCATTGTTACCGCATGGTAAACCAGCAGTTTACGACGCCTCGATACTACGACTGGATCTGGCTAGATTTTTTTTATCAGGCATTTGCGTCAGCGCTTGTACGCTACGTATGGTATCATGGTTCGTGGCGCGACGGCTTGACTTAAATGTCAAAATTAACGTTCCGAAACTGTTGGTATCTACGTCGATCGGCAAAAGTTATCTTGTCTCTATACTTGGACCGGGTTTCTCGGAGATGCTCCTAGCGTTAAAAGGAGGAAAACAATTTTAGCTGTCGCATTCAAAGGTCATAGTCGTGTAAATCTTATATACCGTAATTAATGCGCGCGCCCGTTTAGCTAATATTTATGGGCGTTAATTAGTCGTTTCAGTATTCCATCAGATATCAGCGATATTTGCAAACGCCTGAGGGGGGAAATAAGTCAGAGCGGTTTTAATTATCTAGTACCTTGGTGTAGTACAGAACGAACTCGAGATCTACATTTCTATGTATTTCCTACGTTACATGATCATTTGGATAATTGGAAGAGAAAGAGGTGCATATTGTATTTCGACAAATAATTGCCTATTACCTCGTCGGCATCGCAGAGCAGCGCTTTGTTATTCGAGTGCGACAGAGCATTCATGCAGCATTTCTGGTTCGCTATATCGGCGATACGACAAACTATAACGATTATAATTTCGTCGTTTTACATATTGATCAATTTCGCTATGATATAAATGCGCAGCGTATGGAGATTTCGAATCACTCATTCACGCTGATATATTCCTCCGCGAAATGTCGAACACATATTTGATAAGTTTCCGTCTACAGCTGCATTTGTGATGGAATAATTGATGAGAGTTGTCAATTTTCTGCTTTTGACTAGAAATTGTCGGATTTTATCAAACGTATTTGTTTCTTTAATTTGAACGGAAAATCTTTTTATGGCGCGAAACGTGATTAATATAAAAATATAATATGAAATATAAAAATTTAATTTAACGGCGATCGCGACAAGACGCGTTTAATGCAGCGCTAAGCGTGGCTGATCGCGACGATGTTTCCGTTAGTTGTGGAAAAAATATATCTTTACGTGTTAAAATTATTGATGAAGAAATGAAATTTTTTTTCTGTTTCAGCGTGAGAAGCGTTATGCACAGATATTTGGAGAAGAATAACGAAGTAAACTTCGACAAAATATTTAATCAAATGTTAGGTGAGTAAAAGCTGTCGCTCCGATAATCCGCCCTTCATTCGCCATCCGCGACCCTCGCTCTTTCACGAGATCAAAGACAAAGTGAGGCTTAGGTTTAGCTCGCTGAACTAATTGCCTAGTCCACAGTGGGTGGGTGGGGGCAGCTTCCTTTCAATGTGCGTTTTTATTCAAACCTTCTCTTTGTTCAATGGTATGATAATATATACCTATCGCAGCATATCACTTCAGATATTAGCATATTTTCTCCGATTGACGTAATTATACAAGATGTGTGCATACATTATTCGTGGACAAACATAACCATGATTACATTATTGTACAAAATAATTCGCGCGAGTTGTCGTGGTGCCCCGGTGATGTGAATTCCGGAGATTTTTCGCGATAACGTAAACGTAAATGTTCGTTTATGTGAAAAGTTCAACCAAGTATTCTCTCGCGGCAATTGACAGTCTCGTTTGTAAATCGCTAATTGAGTCATTAACAAATTACGCTTGAATAATACAGTTGAATAATGTATCGAATTTGCCGTCGCAAAATGATACGTGTATATTTACGTGTATACGTACGTTGGCCCGAGATGACCTGGAAAAACCAGTTTCCTTTGGTGGAAATTCAACGATTCGTGAAACGGGCAATGCGTCTGCATCGCAATTATTTCTCGCGAGAGACATGCATAGGGAAACGGCGGTAAATGTAGCGAGTTGTGACAATATTGCAAGTTCGTCGATGTCAAACAAACTCCACATGTACTTCCAGGTTACCTTTTATTCAAAGACTTCTGCGAGACTGTAGCGGAGGAACCGATTCCGCAACTTAGGTTTTACGAAGAGGTTCGTGTTTTTTAGCCCGCACAGTATACATAGTTAAGTGCCAGTAGCGTTGCATATACCGCACACTGCTCACCTGACTACATAAAGGAATTTCTCATTTATGCATTGTAGATCAAAGCGTACGAGAAGCTCGAGTGTCCGGAAGACAGGAGAAAACTTGCCAGAGAGATCTACGACAATTACATTATGAAAGAGTTGCTGGCGCATTCTCACGTAAGTGCAACACCGAACATTTGTCTGTTCGGGGTTTTTTTAGCGATAATTGGAGGGCACGAACTTTTTTCTCTTACTTCAAGGTCCTCCCATGTTCTCTAAATATATTCTAAAGTTAAAATTACAAACACTCACTGTAACACAATTTCCAGTACTGCGAAGTGTATTACAGCCACAAACGTTGCTATAACGTTACACATACGGTGTAATCTTTCGAAAGACAGACATTTCAAAATTGCCAACAATCGTCCCGCAACGTCTTGCTCGCAGCAAGATTAGGCAATGCATTTTCAGTATTGCAATCTCGCGGTGAGATATCTCTGCGATGTTTCGGCCGTGTTTTGTTTATGCGATAAAGTTTTATCTCATTTAGTGTAACAATATATTGAGTAAAATATTGCATTTGATGTAGCAAAATATTTTATCGTCTTGAAACATTTTTTTGCGACGCTAAAATGATTATGATGTCTTCACTGCGCCCTTATTCTCCTCGACCGAGCCGTTTACTTTGCACTGTACTGTAATATTGTGTGGAGAAATGTATCCTGTGCGATAAAAACTTTTCAACTTCCTGTCATCAATCACTCTCTCTCTCTCTCTCTCTCTCTCTCTCTCTCTCTCTCTCTCTCTCTCTCTCTCTCTCTCTCTCTCTCTCTCTCTCTCTCTCTCTCTCTCTCTCTCTCTCTCTCTCTCTCTCTCTCTCTCTCTCTCTCTCTCTCTCTCTCTCTCTCTCTCTCTCACGGCAAAGGGTAGTAGCGAAGGCGTTTTATCACAAATACGTACGGTATTGAACATTCTATTGCCGCTTATGTAATGAATAATTTCGATATACGCGTCTGTCTTTTGCAGGAATATTCGCAAGAGGCGGTATCTCACGTACACAAATATCTCATGAAGAACGAGGTTCCAGTTAACTTGTTCGAGGTAGGTCATTGTCTCTCGCGGTCTTATCTGCACGCATATCGATGTATTCGCAGTGGGTCACGAAATACTTTCTACTTACAGCCGTACATTGAGGAAATTTTCAATCATTTGCGAGGAGAGCCGTTTCAGAAGTTTCTGGAAAGGTAACATTGACATTGACATACAATTTACGAATAAATGTATTCTGCTATATAATTTCTTATTAAAATGTTCTTTATGTTTCTAGTGACAAATATACCCGCTTTTGCCAATGGAAGAACCTAGAGTTGAACATCCAGGTACACGTGAGAATAAATATCATCTCTTAATTCTGATTCAAAATTTTTGAGATGAAATAATGATATGATAACGCGTCAAAATGGAAATTACAGTTGACGATGAACGACTTCAGCGTGCATCGAATAATAGGCAGGGGTGGCTTCGGCGAGGTGTACGGTTGCCGGAAAGCCGACACTGGCAAGATGTACGCCATGAAATGCCTGGATAAGAAGCGCATTAAGATGAAACAGGGTGAAACATTAGCCCTCAATGAGAGGATAATGCTCTCGCTAGTCAGCACTGGGGTGAGTATTATTATTTTTCCGTCAAGCGTTTTACACGATGAATCACGAACAACGTCCGACGTGAAGCATTGTCATCGCCGCAGGTGGACTGTCCGTTCATAGTGTGTATGACGTACGCGTTTCACACGGCCGACAAGCTTTGCTTCATATTGGATCTAATGAACGGCGGCGATTTGCATTATCACCTGAGCCAGCACGGAGTGTTCAATGAGCCGGAAATGAAGTTCTACGCCGCCGAGGTAATCCTTGGCTTAGAGCACATGCATCGCAGGTACATCGTCTACCGTGATCTGAAGCCCGCGAACATACTGCTGGATGAGCACGGTCACGTCAGAATATCGGATCTAGGGCTGGCGTGTGACTTCTCGAAGAAGAAACCACACGCGAGCGTGTACGTATATCGTGGTGAAGCGATCACTCGACTTCTCGGCGTGGAACGTAATGCTTCAAGTTTCTATTTTGTAACAGCGGCACGCACGGATATATGGCGCCGGAGGTACTCTCAAAGGGCACTGCGTACGACTCCAGCGCAGACTGGTTTTCCTTCGGTTGTATGCTGTACAAGCTCTTGAAAGGGCACAGTCCATTCAGACAACATAAAACCAAGGACAAACACGAGATAGACCGCATGACATTGACCATGGTGCGTGTGTCTCCTGATTATCTCTTATAATTCGAAAATCGACAAAACATTTCGCTTTAGCGGCTCGGATATCCAATTGTGCTCGACATGAATACTCGCTTAAATTATGAGATGTGGAAAAATCTGGAAAAATATTGCTTATTATAAACTTCAATATTTGCTTTATTTTTAAAATTCAACCTTTTTTGTATCATTGAGAGTTGTCAGAACGATGAATTTGTCGCGGAGTGCAAAGGATTATTCAATGCAGCTCCATGTTGAGTTGTAACGTTAGAATCTAATTATCTAAAATGTATCTACAGCGAGAATAATCACAGAAAAGTTGAGCGATTACAAGTCTTGCGGAAACTTACGTATGTGAAAGTGCAATTTTTTAAATTAATTGCAGAACGTTGAATTGCCGGAGACATTTTCGCAAGAGTTACGGTCGCTGTTGGAAGGTTTACTGCAACGAGATATCAACAACAGACTCGGCTGCCGTGGCAACGGTGCGGATGAGTTAAAGGCGCACCCGTTTTTCGATGGTATTGATTGGCAGCAGGTGTACCTGCAAAAGTATACGCCGCCCTTAATACCGCCGCGCGGCGAGGTCAACGCCGCGGATGCCTTCGACATTGGCTCCTTCGACGAAGAGGACACGAAGGGAATCAAACTCACGGACGCGGATCAAGATTTATACAAAAACTTTCCTCTAGTCATCTCCGAAAGATGGCAAGCTGAAGTGGCCGAGACTGTGTTCGAGACAATCAATAACGAGGCCGACAAAGTAAGAGATGAATAATTCATCTTTATTGCTTCTTGAATTTTTTATTATTTACATCATTTGTGGGCAATAAGTGATTCGGTCGGCCGAATTCATTTCGTACATAAAGACATATTGTCTTTGTTCAATGATTAAGCCTTCATCAATTCAATGATTCTATTTGATTCTTCTCTTACAGTTGGAAAATAAGAAGAAGGTGAAACAAAAACAACGATTTGACACGGATGAGAAAGGTGAGTGCGTCACACAAAGCATCAATATTTTAGCATTGGGATGGAATTGTAATCGATACGTCGATGATTTATATTTCTAGGCTCGGACTGTATATTACACGGTTATATAAAAAAATTAGGAGGTCCATTTGCAAGCACATGGCAAACACGTTACGCCAAGTTGTATCCGAATCGGTTAGAGTTGCATCCGGAATCCGCAACCAAGCCCGAACTCGTGTTCCTCGATCAAGTAGGTGTAAAAAAATTTCAGTATATTAAACTCATTTAAGTTTATCACGCCTGGCACATATATTTTCATTTGGATTTAATGCCGCGAAAAATGCTGATTCACACGATATCTTCAGGTCGAGGAAGTCGGAGCGGACCTGCAACTTGTAAAAGGAGAACAATGCATTGTAATGCGCACAAGAGATGCAAAGATAGTACTTACAAATGCTGTAAGTAAATCTTGTATTGCTTCTGCCTCTTTCTGTCTAATATTCCGCGATAGAATTCTACGATTAAAACTCAGACAAAGAATTTAAACAAATTAAACAGTGTAATTGAACAGTTTGAAAATAGAAATGTTTAATTTCCCAAGTTTGAATAATTTGTACAATTCGTACTTGATTCTCAAGTGGAAGATATCCATCGTATTACGTAGTACAGCTGCAAAAAGTTGGGAAAATTTAACATTTAAACAAGGAGTTTGTTTATTGAGCAGGTAATTAATTATTTGGACCGTTAAATTATAAAATATTTCGAGTACTATATTCAAAGCACTAGTAACATAAATTAATTGTTATAATAGATAAATATATAATAGATATTAATTATTATTAATTAATTCTATAGGATGAAATAAGTTTGAAAGAATGGGCGCTCTCGTTAAGATCGGCTCACAAATGCTCGATGGAGATGCTCGGTAACATGGCGAGAAAAGCGGGCAAGATCTACGGGACTGAGCGGGACGCCGTGATTCCGGCGACGCAGCGATCTACAAACGGCAACTAGCCCATTGTTGCCGTCACGTGCAATGTCGCACCGTCATACTCCAGTCCCACTGCCCCGCAGCAGCGACAGCAGCAGCAACTTTTTTTATACTAAATAACGATAAACCAGAGAATAGCGATGAATAACGAAAGGATTGAAGAGGGGCGAGCGAGGAGCGAGCAAGGAGCGTTTCTCCGAATGGTGGCAACGGCGCAGCGACGCGCACGGTAGTGCCTCTTCGTTTGAAAGCTCGCTCTTATTTATTTGCTGCGACGTTGGAAAAAAAAAAAAAAAAAAAAAAAAAATAAATCCCTCTTTTGTCACATCTCGATCAAACGGAACGTCCCAAAGAAAATCCCGTTGTACGGCGGATAGCGCTGCCCTGTGTATTATAGAGACTCTAGCCAAGTAGTGTCGTATCGTGCGTATATTCTTCCAGGGCCATGAGGATTGCGCGCGTGTCCACACTCATACGCGCATGCACACGACACACATCCGATCGCGGCTCCTTCTGGTCACTGGCGCGGACGCATAGGTATCTCGTTATATTTGTACGTTAGTTGTATGTGCAACATGTGACGTAGCAACTAGCGACCGATCGAGCGACGAACAAAAACTTAACACACGGAAAATACGAGATATACATCCGGTAGTGTATTATTTATTATGATTATATACATATATATTATAATCTAGTACTCTACGCGATCCCCCACTCTTATTACTTTCTGCGCGTTTCGTCGTGCCGCTCGTTTACTTAATTTATTTACAGAGAGAAAGAGAGAAGAGAGACCGGTTTTATATTATCCTTATGATGAAACAAAAGTGACCCATTATTTATTATGTTGTTAAGTGAGAGAGAATGAGAGAAGAGTGAAAGGGAGAGAGAAAGAGAGAGAAAAAAAATAACAAAACTCGTTTGTATATTAGCCAAAAGTGGAATCGAATACCGAATACGTGCAACATATGTATGCTCGAGTGGATAAACGCAAGTCCGCTCCGGCAATAAAATATGCGATGAACGTAGATGAGAGGAGCTTTCTTTCGTCCTACATTTCGTATCAGTGAACCAATGCTAAAAATGAGTAAGTATTTGTGTATCTCCCTAGATCACCCATTACGTTTTAACGGATCTACTTTATTACGATCAAATGACATATGAAATTAGTAAAGTGCTTGATCTAACAATTGTAGGAGAAGGCAATTACATATCAATGTCACGAATGAATTGAAACGGTCCATTTTTTATACTACAACAATCGAAATTCAGTCCATTTATCGAAGGCTGTTTTTATTTCGATGTGTAATCACGCATATTAATGATAACTGAATAATAATATTTCAACAATTTCCATTCGTAATATAATAGAAAGGCATAGAGAGCCGTCGCGGGATGTTAGTGCGAAATTATAATTTTCTTAAAGAAATTAATTTGTTAGTCTACGTGAGACAGTTAAATTTGTACACCGATCTCTGGTTCGAGATACTTAAAGTGTACGAAAATTTTAGTACATTGTTCTCACATATGGAGAATCAGTATGTACTGATAGGAATTATTAGAAAGAAGGGAATAGAGAAAAAATATCAGGGCGCGAGTGGCTAAGCCGGGAATTGAACCCGGGTCTTCCGCTTGCCGGGCGAATGTTCTACCACTAAACTACTCAGACCCCACGCTTCTAACATTTATTTCTCTTAGTTTAGGAAATCAACAAATCTGGACATAAACGCGTCATAATGCCCGCGTGATTTAAAACAATTTAACACATATAAAGGAATGGCTCTAATGATAACAATCAATTGATATAATAGAAAGGCATATCAAAGGCGAATCAGAGATCGGTAGTGCGAAATTATAATTTTTCTTAAAG